GTAAGTAACATATATTCCTGAGATTTGACATAAAAAATAGTGACACATATATTGCATTTCATGATAGTCAGATGTTTGAGCATGTTAATTGGTATATCGCAATGAGACCGCGGTAGACTACGCTCAGGATGGTTAGTTGGTATGTTGCAATGAGATCGTAGCAGACTACCCTCCGTTGTGCATCATTACTAAGTGGGATAGTTGGCACTCCGCAACAAGATCGCAGAGGACTATACACATGGTGTGTTAGTTGGTATACTACAACGAGACCACGGTAGACTTCACCCCATGTGCTTTATTATATTTCTAGATAGAGAACTACACAGATTTCATTTATGATTCCCTATTAGTTACCCGAGAGTAGAGTATATACTAAGGTTGTCATACATAGCCTATTCTATGCAAGATGAATGTATCACATGATATTCTTTATGACTGCGCCAACTACCCGAGGGTAGTGTGAGGATTTGACTTGACTTGTATTATTGAGGTTTGGAGTTGTATTTCTTTTATTTACTGTTTCATTCCTAGGACTTTGGAGTTAGGATTTAGCGATTCATAATTTGAGACACGGTATATACATGAGGGTTTCCTTATTTAGATTATTTCGCTCGATGTACTAATTCTCATATTATGAATTTCTAAATCTCAATCTCCTTTTAGTTTAGGATAGATGATTTTATATTTATATGTACTAACTTATTTTTATATATACTCCTAACCCCTCCCTCTGGGGGTGGTGGAGATGATCTAGCTAGCACTTTGATGCTCGTTGTTCTCCCTCTTTTCAGGTAGTGAGTCAGGTGCACGGAGAGTCGTAGGTTGATAGAGTTTTGGCTTAGTCTCCATCTTTATTTACATTAGTAGTTATTTATGCTCCACAGTAGTTTATTATTTATTTTCAAATATTTAGAATTGTATTACATTTTTAGAAAGGCAGAGTGCCTTAGTAACATTTCCATTGACTCTATGTATTGAGACATTTTACATTTGTTCCAGTATCAGTTGTATTTCATTTATTTTAGTTGGGAACATGATTATTGACTATTTCTAGATATCTCTTCTTTATATATCTGTTCATTATATTATTACATTCATTACCTATTTTTTACCTACACCTGTTGTTTGATTCCACTAGAGAGATATTATTGTGATGGTGAAACGTGTTATTACACAATGTGGGTGCGTGACAGGTTTGGCATCCTTGGATTTACCTTGGGCTGTAGTCTTATGTGAAACTAGGGGCATCATAATAAAAGATAGATTTTAGTGAGCATTGTGTTCTTGGAAAGCAAAAGCGTGTCATTTTCAATACAGTTATGCATAGAACGAAAGGCACTTCGGATTACATCCATTCTAATATGTGGGGTCCCTTGTGTGTTCTTCTGAGGAGTGGTGCTAGGTATATGTTGACATATATCGATGAATACTCAAGAAAATTTTAGGTTTATGTGCTAAAATGCAATGATAAAATGTTCAAGTATTTTAAACAGTGGAAGACATTGATTGAGAAGCAGACTGATAGAAAAATTAAGAGGTTGAGAACAAATAATTAATGGATTGGAATTTTGCTTCTTAGAGTTTGATGAACTCTACAAGGATGAGGGTATAGTTAGACATCAAACATCATGACACATGGCACAACAAAATGGCATTGCATAATGCATAATAGGATTCTTCTTGAAAGAGCTTGTTGCATGTTGTTGAATGGCGATTTGTCAAAAGAATTTTGGGCTGAAGTAGTGTCTACAACATGTTACTTAGTGAATCACTCTCCATCCACATCCCTTGATTGCAAGACACTAGAAAAGGTATGGTCTAGTCATTATGCTCATTATTTTAGCTTAAGGGTATTTAGTTGTCCTGTATATACACATGTAGATCGAGGTAAATTAGAACATAGATATAAAAATGTATTTTTATCGGCTATGCCTTTCGGGTGAAAGGATATAGGTTGTGGTCAACTGATCCTAAATCACCCAAATTCATGATTGAGAAAAGTATAATATTTCATGAGTGTGCTATGTTGCTTTCAAAAGAAGTACTATGGTTGTTTCTTTTGACGCAGATACTACACATAAGAGTACTAGAGAGAATGTGGAGTTGGAGACAAATTCTTATTATTTAATTTAACAACCAGTTATTGGTTCGCCTGAAAATAATGAGAAAATAAAAATTACTACATAAGATGACACTTATAGCTTGCAAAAGGCAAAGGAAAGAGATTGATAAAGCCATCTTAGAGATATATAGATTCAGCCATTGTATGTGCATTGTGAGTAGCTCAAGAGATAGGTATTGCGAGAGAACCGAGAAGTTAATTAGAAGCCATATCATCACATGATTCTACAAATTGGTTAATTGCTGTGAGTGAGGAGATATAATATGTTCATAAAAATTAGACTTGGGATTTGGTAGCGCCTTCGAAAGATAAAGAATCATCAGCTGTAAGTGGGTGTTCAAGAAAAAGGAAGGCACTATAGGTGTTTCAAATGCAAGATATAAGGTTCAGCTAGTTGCAAAAGGCTATAGTCAGGTTAAAAGTATTGATCATGATGATATTTTCTGGTCTATTGTTAAACATACTTCCATTTATATTTTATTATCACTGGTTACAATATATAATTTGAAGTTAGAGCAATTAAATGTCAAAATAGTTTTATTGCATGGTGAACTTGAAAAGCAAATTTTCATGTAACAACCAAAGAGTTTTGTTATTGAAGGAAGAGAAGATCATGTTTGTTTGCTGAAGAAATATCTATACGGCTTGAAGCAATCTTCTCATCAATGGTATAGGAAGTTTAATTCGTTTGTGATTAGTCATGAGTTCAGTAGGAGCAAATATGAGGCCTGTGTTTACTTGAAGAGATTGAATGATTATTCCATAATGTATCTGCTATTGTATATCGACGATATGTTGATCTCAGCTAAGGATAAATCTGAGATGAATAGGTTAAAGATTCTAGTTATTGCAGAATTTCAGATGAAAGACTTTGGAGAATTAAAGAAAATTCTTAGCATGTAAGTTTTCAGAGATAGCATGGATGCAAATCGTCACTTAGCATAATTGTCACCTATCATAATTGTCACCTAGCATAATTCTAGTTACCACTCCTCTTGCGACTAACTTCAGGCTATTAGCATAATTGTCACCTAGCATGGATGCAAATTGTGACTACATGTCTTGAGTACTCTATATAAGTACAGTGGGGAGGATCATGTATGTGATGGTATGCACTCGACTAGAACTTTCACAAGTAGTAGTTGTTGTTAATAAGTATATGACAAATCCTAGAAAAGAGTACTAGCAAGCAATAAATAAGATCATTATATATTTGAAGGGAACTTTAGGTGTTGGCTTGATATTTTGTGGAGAGAGTGGCACAGATTGCATTGCTACCTGATATGTTGATTCAGATTTTTGCGAGTAATTTGCATAAGCATAGATCGACTACATGTTATGTTTTTTTTACTTTTTTGAGAGGTTCTATCTATTAGAGGTCAATGTTGCAAGCTATTATTCCTTTGTCTACTATAGAGGCAGAGTTCATGGTGACTACAGAAGCTGTGAATGAAGCAATATAGTTGAAAGGTCTTCTTGGTAAATTGGGAGTTGAGCAGAAAATTACACTTGTTCATTATGATAGTCAAAGTGCGATTCATTTAGCTAAGCATCCAGTCTTCAATTTAAAAATTGAAGCTTATTGTTAACGTTCGTTATCACTTTATTAGAGAGATTGTAGAGGAAGATAAAGTAGTCTTGAAAAAGATTAACACCAAGAATAATTTGGTAGATATGTTGATGAAGCACTTACCGATAGCCAAGTTTAAGTTCTAGCTAGACTTAATTCATATCCAAAAATGTCGAGGCGTCATAGAGCGTATTTGCAGAGGCGTTGACAACACTATTGAGAAAGTTGAGAACTCATTTAGGTTATTGAGCCAATGTCAAGATTTATTGAAATTTGTGCCTTAAAACCATCACTAATTGGTCCCATATTTTGGGTCATTGAGGAATTTTTTATTAAATTTTTGGGCTCTTGGGCGTGCGCACTTATTCATGTCTGACTCAGCTCGGGTAATCAAAATGAGCTTATGCATGTCAATAAATAAGTGGTCAGGAAAAAAAGCTGAAGGGTTTTTACTTTTTAGTATATATTGGAAAGCCTTCTCTTGGTGTGCAGCCCGTCTTTTTTTTGTGAGAGCTCAGAGAGAGTTGAACTTTGAGTTCTCATTTGTATTTTCTCTTTTCTATAGTGAAATTTCTTCAACACCTCTGTCGTAGACGCATCCCAAATTAGGTGAATCGCATAAATATCTATGTTTGCGAGTACTTATCATTTATTCTCGTGATTGTTCTTCGCAATTATTTCTTCTTGATTATGCACTTATTCTAACATTTTCCATACAATAATAGTTTATTACTAAATCTGTTTTTAGTTATATATTTGGTAGAATTTGAATATAGATTATTCTGATATCATGTTAAAAAATCACCGCCACCGCCATCAATAGCTTGTAAGGTATTTGTACTGAGAGTAAGATGTCAGACATACACAATACACATTTGGATATATCAAGAAACGCGAGAGAAGACAAGGGCAATAGAACAACAAGTCATTAAACATTTTGATTTTAATTTAGTTTCATGTTCATTGTCAATGGAGCTGTCAATTGATTTGGTAAAGAACAAGGCATATAAAATTATAAAAATTATTAACTCAATTGAGTATGAAATATAATTATATTGGATTAAAGAGATGGTAGAGAGATCAGCTACCTCTATCATGTTAGTTTTTTGGCAGCTCGGAAGGAATGGAAGGTGGCGTTTCTTTTTGTGGAAGTGATTGTTTGTTGCATTCAACTATTTTTATGTTGTGATTGTCAACAACTAATTATTCAGATAACTAAGGCAAAGACTACGAGCCTCCCAAAGTGCTCATCAATGAGTGATGGCTAAGTTTTTGACAGGGTACGATGTCAAAAGCTAGTATTGAGGATTATCCTCTTTGTGACAATGTACCGCTTTTTTTCATAAAATATTTTGCCACAGAGACATAAAACATATAGTATTGAGCAGGGGCGTAGCCAGTAAAGGCTTGCTCTGGGCAGCTGCCCAGGGCAAGAATGTGAAAAACTATATAAGTAGGCGGCTCCTCTTCATCCCATAAGTGAATATTGAGTCCGTGACAATTCTTGAGTGAGTGGCAATTCTTGAGCACCAAGGCATCTGCAGGTGGAATGTACTCAAACATATCTCCAGCAACATACTGATGAATCCTACCTTCACTCTTATCCATCACCTCAGTAACATGAGGTAAATCAAGAATTGTCACCTTCACCTCGGGAAAAGTCTGAGCCACCGCTCTAGAAATCATCGCCAAACCTGCAGCAGCATCCACAACAGACTTCACTTTCCCAAACAACTGTGTGAATGATGTCACAAAGGTGGGGGCCATGCTCTTAACAAAGTTTGTGAACTTTGTTTCCGCGTAAAGAGAATGCCCACGAACACTGTTTTGAAGGCCCACCCGACTTTTGTGCCTATAAAAACTTGACAGCTAGGTTTTTTTCTTGGTGCAAGCGCAAGAGGCTTTGGCTGTGAGAAGAAAATTTTGCGACCACGGAGGAAAAGCAAACAGAGACTTGGTTGCTGTAGCGTGCAAGGTTTGCAGCGTGCGTATGCAGAGAGTTCTTTTGTGCGGCTGCAGAAAGAAGGAAAAAAAAAGTGCAGTCCTTTTGTGTTTTTTGTAGAGAGATATTGTGAGGGATTTGAGAGTTTGTTTGAGGGTTTAGATTGAGTGATTGTAAATCCTAGTTGTATTCTCTCCCTCTAATAGTATATCTCCCCCTCCTTGCCCCGTGGATGTAGGCTATTTGCCGAACCACGTAAAAGTTGTGTTCTTGTCGTGATTTGTAATAGCTTGTAGGATCCCTTGATAGGTCAGTCCTAGAACTGATGAGAGGAAGAGCTGATATCTCACTTTGTTGAGATATCCGCTTTAGATTCTGTTTCCTTAGCGAGATAGGAATTATTACGATCTAATCTCTTGTTGTGCACCTTGCGCACCGGAGGTACTGCTAAAATTTCCGCTGCGCACAACAAGTGGTATTAGTGCTCCGGGTTGGATTTGGGGCTTGTTTGAAGGATTCGCTGAAGGATTCCTATTTGAAGAATTGGATCGACAACATGGGAGAAACAAGCACATTGGGATCGTCTCTTTAGAAGGTGATACATAGTCTGAGCATCAATAACACGAAGATTGATGTTTCGAAGTTCGACGATAAGATTAATTTTGGATTGTGGAGGTGTCAGGTGATGGACGCATTGGATGCACAAAATTTGGAGGAGACTCTTGTGGAGGTGTCAGGTGATGGACGCATTGGATGCACAAAATTTGGAGGAGACTCTTGAGTTACAAGAGAAACCCGCTGATTGGAGGAGACTCTTGAGTTACAAGAGAAACCCGCTGATATGGAGGATAAGGTTTGGAAGAAAATGAATACTAGGGCTTGTGGAGTTATTCGATCATGCTTGACGTCGGATCTTATTTATGACGTAATGAACGAGACGTCAGTGAAGAGAATGTGGGAAACACTCAATGAGAAGTATCTGACGAAGAGCATTGAGAATCGGCTTCACTTGAAGAAGAGGTTTTACCAATTCAAGATGAAGAGGGGAGTTTCCATTCAGGGAGCATGTTAACAACTTCACGAAGCTAGTTTTGGATATGACAAATGTAGATATCATGGTTGAGGATGAAGACAAGGCGATACTACTATTGTGTTCGTTGCCGGAGGATGATTTCGGTACGTTCGTTCTCACTATGATCAATGGAAGAATTACGGTTAGCTACAAGGAGGTGTCCTCAGCTTTGGTGAATTATGAGTTAAGGAAGAGTAATGGCGAACCCTCCGAGAAGGCATCGGGAGATGCATTAGCAGTTCGAGGCCGTGGTCCAAACCGTCGTCCAGGTGATCGCTCAAGATCGAAGTCAAGAGATGGCCATAGAAATATTGGTAGGAATCAATGTCGCTTTTGCAAAGAAGAAGGACATTAGAAGAACGACTGTCCAAAGTTGAAAGATAAAGCTGGGAAGAATAAAGGGAAAGCTGTACAAGCTTCAGAAGTGAATGTTGTCAAGGCTAGTGACGAAAATTTAGATACAGATTCTTCAGACTATTCTTGCTCTACATTACCGTCAGTTTGTTACGCTGACTCTACGGAGTGGATGATGGATTATGGTGCTACATACCATATTTGCCCTAGGAGGGATTGGTTCTCTAGCTTTGAGGAGTTAGAAAGAAGGGATGTCGTGCTCATGGGTAATGATCACGTATACCCTATTGGTGGTATTGGTACAGTACGGATCCGGATGTATGACGGGGTGACTCGGGAGCTGAAGGAAGTGAGATTCGTTTCTCAATTGATGAAGAATATCATTTCACTTGGAACTTTGGAGGCAGCTGGCTATAAGGTGATCTTGGAGAATGTGACTCTGAAGGTCACAAAGTGGTCCATGGTGGTGATACGAGGTGTCAGGAAAAACAACATTTACTACTTGAAGGGCAAGACAGTAACAGGGGGTCTGGCAGCGTCTATTACCATAGAGGAAGATGCTACCAGCTTATGACATATGAGATTGGGACACACTGGTGATAAGTCCCTGCAGGTATTGGCGAAGCAGGGGTTATTGAATGGTGCAAAGACCTGCAAGATGGAGCTGTGTGAACATTGCATACTTGGGAAGAAGACAAGAGTAAAATTCGGCACCGCTATTCATAATACCCAAGGTATATTGGACTACATTCACACAGATGTTTGGGGCCCTTCTAAGCACACATCACTTGGTGGGGCTAACTATTTTGTCACTTTCATTGATGACTATTCTAGGAGGAATTGGGTATACCCGATGAAGCATAAACATCAGGTCCTGGATATTTTTGTGGAGTGGAAAAAGAAAGTGGAGCTACAGACAGGTGGAAAGGTGAAGACTCTACGTTCAGATAACGGTGGAGAGTATAAGAGTGATCTGTTTCTGTAGTTTTGTCGGGATCACGGTATTAGACGACACTTCACAGTACGTGAGACACCGCAACAGAATGTGGTGGCTGAAAGGTTGAATCGTACCTTGCTGGAGAATGTGCGATGTATGATGACACAGAGTGGATTGTCAAGATCCTTTTGGGACGAAGCGTTGGTTTATGCGAGCCATCTCGTGAATAGATTGTCGTGCACTGCGATACAGGGGAAGACTCCGTTAGAGCGTTGGTCTGGTTCGGTAGCTAGTGACTATGAGTCACTTCGGATATTTGGGTGTCCAGCTTATTACCATGTCAATGATGGTAAATTGAATCCGAGGGTGAGGAAAGCAGTCTTTGTGGGATTTAGAGATGGAGTTAAAGGCTTCAAGTTATGGGATCCACAGGACAAGAAGATAGTTATTAGCAGGGATGTCACATTTGACGAGGCGTACATGATGAAGCCTCAAGTCCCTTAGCAGGTGGAGGAAGACCAGATTCAGGAGATATCACAGTAGGTGGAGGATGATGTGACTCCACTCACTCCAGATAGCATTATATTTATTGAGGCTCCTACAGAAGTTCTTCTGTATGTGTAAATTTTGATCTCCCGAAAACAGGGAACTTCGTTTGTATTGATAAGAAGGCTTATTACAAACTAATTAATCAAATGTTTACAACAGAAGCGGGGGGAAAGCCCTCCTTGTTTAACGTGGGTTCCTCGGTGGCGATAGGACGCCTCGCTCGGTGCTCGTGCCGAGTCGCTCCTTGAATTATGGGATGTGACCACATGTCGTTCAGAGATATCCTGCTGTTCACCTGCAACAGGAGCGGTCATTCGAGGAGCCAAGATCGCGTCACGTCCCTATTTGACGTGTTTTACATCACGTCACTTAGGAATGGGAAAGCCCCTCCTCGTATGCGTGACAGCAGCTGTCAGGTACTCGAGTGGATATGGCCAACTCACTGAGCGCCGGCGGCCCTCCCTTCTGCTTCGAAGAGCTGTGCTCTGCATCACGCTACATAGGAGTGGGAAAGCCCCTCCTCGTATGCGTGACAACGGCTGTCAGATGCTTGCGTGGATCTGACCAACCACCGAGCGTTGGCGGCTCTCGTCCCTTCACCTGGACAACTGAGGTGAGCCGCATTTATGAGGGTGCAGGCTGTTTCGGCGCCTGTCCGCTCATTCGTACTGTGGACGGCCATCTGACGGGCCTGGAGTATTGTGCCCTCTCCCTTGATTTGTGGGATTTGACCACTGATGTAACTGTTCCCATACTCCAAGTGGGCAGTTGACAGTGAGCTGGCGAGTCTGCAGCTTGGGTCTGCAGGCGAGCTTGCAGGCGAACTGGGTCTGCAGGTGAGTTTGGGACTGCAGGCGGACTTGGGTCTGCAGGCGAGCTAGCAGGCATTTGAGACTGCAGGCAGAGCTGGGGATTGCAGGCAGACTTGGGTCTGCAGGCGGATTTGATACTGCAGGCGAACTGGGTCTGCAGGCAAATTTGATACTGCAGGCGAACTGGGTCTGCAGGCGAGCTCCTGAGCATGGATCGAAGAATAGGCCGTAACTTTTAAACCGTAAGTCGGAATTGGACGAATTATATATGAAAATCGCCTATCTCGACGAGATGGGGCTATCCGAACTAAGCCGAAGGCTTTGGTTCGCTTCCTCCGTTTCGCCAAATTCCTTACGGTTTGGGAGATATCTGCGTTTTCCCCTTTTTCTGCTATTTCGGGCGAGGTTTTAGCAGTTTTGTTCTGAACTTCTCTGATAAGGATTAAAGGCAATTTTTATTACCTACATGTACCTACACCAGTTGTTGACTCTACTAGATAGATGTTAATTATGATGGTGAAACATGTTCCTCCAAAGTTTTCAGACCTGAATCAGGCCGCATGGGGTCTGGAACACTTTGGATATGAAGTCCCGTAAAGTGATCCCTGCTCTTCACTCGCAGCTGATGATCGCCTTCTAGGATTTTGAGCAAACCCTCAGCTATCAACGGACTTGATTTGTCTTTACCAACTGCCGTTTGAGTTGGACTAGCCATGCTCTTGCCCTTAGCATGGTAAGTTGTTGAGGAGTTTCTTTTAGGCTCAATGCTAAAATTTCTCCTCTATCCTTAGCCTTTCGAGGCGTTTGGATTTAAGGGAGCAGTTTAACCTCGTATACCAGTCGGAGGGTAGGAGCAGTTTAGACTCATGCACCAGTTGGAGTGAAGGAGCAATTTAGCCTCGTGCACCGGTCGGAGGAAAGGGGCAGTTTATACTCTTGCACCAGTTGGAGTATAAGGGGGCAGCTTATCTTCTCTTAGGGCAAAGATAAAGACGAACCCTAATTTGTCTTCTCTTGGGGCAAAGACGAACCCTGAAGTAGCAGCACATCGCATAGTAGGCCACTATCAAACAACAACGCCTTTTATGGGAAAGACGGTGC